TGTCTCCAAGTTGCCGTGACTGGATTCGCTAACGGTTAAAGTAAAACCAGTGGAAAATAGGTATGACTACTGTGTGCAGTGATAGAATAGCTGCTATTTATCATCGTAAATACTATAGTCTCTAGTTTCACAGGTACCCAGTCAGCAGTCCGATGTTGACAAAACACATGATAACAAAGCCAGAGGAAGAAGTAAAGTGGCATTGCCTTTTCAAGTCGTCCTGTAAACACTATTAAGTCACTATTAAGTCACCATAACATAAATTCTAGATATGAAGACCAAGATGTTGTGGCCTCTGGTATGATCGCAGTCTCCTTTGGATTTATAGAAGTGGGTTGACCTCGTTGTCACAAGTTGGTTTCGTTGCCAGGACTACTAAGTAGAACGCATCTAGTCTGAAGTCGTCTGCTATAGTAGTTGTCATGATTCCCAGCGTCAGACAATGGACTTGGTACATTCTCAAACAGAAAGAGGAGTGATAGTGTAACAGTTTTCGGCAGAACGTTTGTCGAGGGATTCTTTTCACTTGTCTTTTTGACGAGTACGTGGCTTGGTACAGAAAATGGCAAAAATCACGGATGATGCCGACTACGATGCCAGCGAAACGATTGAGAATGTACCAAGTCCACTGTCTCATGCTGGGAATCATGACAACTACTATGGCAGACGACTTCGGACTAGGTGCGTTCTGCTAAGTCGCCCGGACAACAAGGTCAAGTTGCGACAACCAGGTCAACCCACTTCTAACATAAATTATATCCATTTAAAGCAGACTACAAACACGCCTAAGGGCGCATCAACTTCGTTTTGCTAATTGCGATCAGCTTATAAATGTATTATTTATAGATCTCTTTCATCCTTATACAAGGTGCTTTAACATTTTAAAGCACTCCGATTAATATCTAAAAAAATAAATTACAAAGAATTAAAAAAATTCATTTAATTCATTAAAATATTAAGTTATTCTTAAGCCAATATATGGCCTTCAATCCATAGTACAAATGATAACTGCCTCGTATTGACAATATTGCAAACTGGTTCGTGTATATTCAAATACAAAAAGGTTATAGGCTTGTTGAGACCTCTTTTTGCTATACATATTTGCATTTACCTCTTCTTTCCAACTTGCTCGCGTTTTAAAGAATTCCCAGTTTGAAGTGTAACCAGGTGCCCTGCTAGCAACGAAACATGGCTAGGCACATTTTCAGGTGTCTCTCAAGCATTTTTTATCAGCATTAAAGTGCTTTTAAATAATGCTCTAGCGCATCAAGCCATTTTCAGTGTCACAAGACTATATTATGCTTTCGCAATCTTTCCATAACTATGACTTGGTTGTAAAAGCCAGGCCAAATCACCTCTGTTGAATAATGAAAAATCTGAGTGAAACAGTATGTCTTGTTCCCTAGAACTCTATTCGCATACTATGACCAGGTTAAACTGCGAAGCTCACTATTAAAATGCCTGAAGCCCATTTTCCCGAGAAAGCTTTCACTCTCAAAAGTAAGTTGCATCTTCGTCGGCACTATACTACTCGGACACCATATATATATTTGATACCAACCATGGCAACACAATCTCAATGCCGGGTATAACTATATTTCATAAAACTTGCAGCTGGATATGGTAGAAGTTGGGAATATATATATTACCCTGAGAATAAAATCATTTATCAGTGTTGTCTGAAAATGTATCTCTATGGTGCTATTTCGAAACGTTTCTCTAACGAAAGAACTGTTTTCATGTAGGCACGGATATGAAAATTAAGCTATTTTTATAACCTCAGAAAAAACGTAATAAGTATTTGGGCCCAAATACTTACCCTGAGCGTCTAAAAGGTAATATAAGTAAGCTTGTTTCCATCAGGGATGAGCAAATTGCCTTAATACTAAATGAGTTAATCTGAAAAGGGGATGATGAAGGTCTATGTAGGTATTGTTAAAATAACCTAAATAGACTAAAAAGGTTTAGCGATGGAAAGTTGGGTCTCAAGAATTCTCTTGGAGTACAACTGTTGAAATTACTTCGATTTCCAGTTAAAGTGTGCGCTGAAGAGATTCGAAGCTCTCTCCCACCATAAAACGATAGCGGATTCTCCTTGGACAGCTGTCGATTGGCTTTGCTCGAACATTCTTCTTGTCGCTGTTTGTGAAAGAGTGCTATGCTTAGCTTAGAAAGCTTCAATAAGAATTCATTCTACCTCGTTTTCATAAATTGGTTGTATTGTTGTGACGACATAGATGAACGCGCCTTATACTGTGTCTTCTACCATAGTATCTATGATACTTTCCAGCATCAGACTAATGATGCAGACTACGATGCCGGAGAAAAGTCTTGGAAAGCACCAAGGCCATGGATACTATGGCGGAGGACTTTGGACAAGATGCGTTTATCTGGGTCTCACTATGAATATGAAAAATTCGCAAAACCGAGGTGAAACCATTTCTATGCAACCAAAGGAGACTGCTAATATCGTAAAGGCCACATCATTTTGGTCTTACTGCCTCTATTTAGAAAAATGTCTTAGTATAGCCAAATGACAGGTAACCAAAAGGAATCTCTCGTCATCTTCTGGGGGATTCGACCTTTTAATCTCTTTATCACACCTTTATTTTCGAAAAGAGAGTTAGTGTAGCATAAACAGTTCCCTCAAAAAAGTTGCAAGGGAGGTGTGGGAAGAAAATAAGTGGCGGGAACGGAGGAAAATGTACAGTAAAGAAAGCGGTAGATGCAATCGGGTGTAACTTCTTACACACACAAATACATACGCAAATCTGCGAAGATATTGAAAAGAGTAAATGTGTATAACATTTTGCTTGAGCGTTCGTAAGCCCTCGAACGATTTATATGAATAGAATATGGTACCTTGCGTTTGAACGACTGTGTACAACTTTATGGTCGGCAAATCTAATGCTTTCACTCAAACACCGAATAATAGCTGTCTATTTGTGTTTGGATCAGGTCTAGGTTGCATTTTGTATACATTTTGAGATTATTACATAATGAGTAGATGAATTAAGATGACACTTTCTTCCAAATACTACTCCACTCTTGTAGCCAATTTCTATACTACTCATAAATGGTTGAGGGGCCTGAGATTCACAATATGAATGTAATCATTACTCTGATGAGTGCAAAGAGGCCCATTTTTCATGCACAAATAGAAGGGCGAATAGCAGATAATGAAGCTAAGCATGGGCTTGCATGAAGAACAGAATTCGCCTGACTGCTAGAAAAGGAGCGCAAATTGTGAAGATTGTGCAAGTAGATGAAGTACAGAGAAGAGGTAAGAAGAAAAATGGTCGTTTTACAGGCTCCCAGTTTGATGTAAATAGACAAGTAGTTGAGACTGTATGGCTGATTTAAGACTGTCGTAGTTGGCACATTTGTATGCCTGAAGGAGGCCTTGTTGTGATCCTGGCGCCTCGCGTACTTCGGGTATCGTATCAATTGTCGCATTGGCCTCGGCAAGAATGGCACAGCAAATTTGCCCATCCTATGTTGGAAGAAAAACAATTATATATTTTCAAAAATGTAATTACCATGTCGATATATGCTCATCAAGATCAGATAAATGTATATATTTTCAGAAAATTTAAGAGGCAAAGGAGAGAAAGTTGGAATACACTTTAGGTAACCGATTAGCTGAATGTATAGTCTTGATTATTAAGGAAACATAAATAATCACACAAAAATGCCAA